TAAACGATAACTATAGAAAAATGAAATGCGACTCAATTCCGAACAGCCACCGCGAGCCATTCCGTTAGTTGTTTATTATTTTTAATGTGCCGTGTTTAATTGTTTAAAATGATGTTATTTTCTATTTAGCCGAACGATTCTTAAAACATATGGATACTCGACTAATAATGGGCAATCGTAGTAAACGCATTGCGTCAAAGTCGCGGCTTCGTCGCGAAATGAAAACACGTACAAGTATGTATACGCGGGTACGTTGTAGATCGTTCACCTGCGTCCGTGTTCGGTCGAGTATTGCGCGCGTGTTGCCCCGTTACGACGGATCACGCGATCGCGAATCAGCGAATCGGCGTTCGCTACGCTCGCGCTTCTCATCAACGCGCGCAGAAACCGGTCCTCCCGCGGTTTATACGTTGCTTGTTCGAGAAACACTCCGAGAAGAGAGACATTCGATCCTCGCGACGTACCGGGCTTGTTGCAATTAAGTCAGCTCGTCCGTTATGCTCACTTTACGTGAACGCATCGTATCAACATCGAGATGCTTCCTCGAATGTACGTCGATGAATACGAGATAGTCGAGATAGTTATCTTATTTTAAATGTATATCAACGATTAACATTGATATCGTTTAGGTGGTGCATTTCCTGTGTCCGTCGTCTTACTCGCTAACAGCCTATCGTGCAGATATTGGGATATAGTAACGAATTCCGGGGAATCAACATTTCTCTTATGCCAGTTACGCGAACGACTTCGACATCGTAACCGTGTTCCATTTCCGCGTAATCCAAACGTGGTATGATGTTTCCGAGAATTGTACTCGGGTTTCTCACCAACTTCCGAATCTCTCGCAAAACTTGGAAAAACATCGCTAGCATGCTCCGCAGTTGAATAGCGACTTGTGTCGTCGTTTACCGAGGGCAAAACATGTGTGACCCGGTTTCTTCGGGAAAGGTCCGAATATCAAAGTACCGATACGCGTGGAACACGATAGCGATTTATAAACGCAGACGAATAAACAGAATTTGTCTCGTGTCGCCGCTTGTTGCGATCGTAAGGCTTTGTCCGTTACTATTATCTTCCATCGTAATATCGATCTTTGTTTATTCTTAATATCTGTTGAAATTTCTATTGAATTTCACCAGCATTCTAGTGACTCTGTAATGTACATCGCGGCGGGATAAGCCAGTCTGTGAAAATAGGTAGGTAGGTAGTTTTTCATTGGCCGTAATGCGATGCGTTGTTCATGTCCTTGGTGTACGTTTACGCTTTGCAATCGTTTGTTTAAGAACGTTGCACTCTAGCATTACTACACCAAGTTGTAGCTACAACCCATCTATCGCGAGTTATTCCAAGAATCGAGCCATGGTATCGTCGTGGTTTACCAAATCAGGCTAGGTTTACGATATACGTTGGATTCTTTTTTTAACGCTACTTACGCCGAAGCAATAAACAACTCACCCCGAAGATCCAAGTCCTAGCCAGAAAAAACCTTCAACGCATAAACTAGTCTACCAACGGGTCGGGGAACCGATAAAAGCGATTTAAAAATAACACGTTGTTCTCCTAACTTTCCCTTCGGTTCTAATTTCATTTAAAAATACGCATGTCGCATGGCGTACATAATCCATTAAACATGATTTTAAGCAGAGAGAGAAAGCGGGGGAGCTTTATTACGCGTTACTCTGAACTGAATCAAGTCGACACTATTTCAGAAATGGTATGTAGTATGTACTTGGCAAACTATTCGATTAAGTTTATTCGTGGTTTAAAAGCCTGTAACGTCGCTGCAAGTATTCTACTCGGGAGACTCCAGAGCGAACAAATATTCATGCTGTCGGTGTGTTAATCACCCCCGGGGCAATTGTAGCGCACAATATGTTCAAACAGAAGATTTCTAACGCGCCTACAATGTTTGCGTTCTAGAGTTTCATTTTTAGGTTCTGGCTCGGTCGATAAATTGTGGCATGTTATCAACGATAATGATAAGCGCTCGATGTAACAAACGAAATTGTGAACGGTCTGTGGCGAAAATTACAGGACTAGCCGTAGACAATTTCTGTGAATATGTATATAGGATCAAAAATGAATAATCCGAGAAATAGAAAAATAGAAAAATGCAACCCAACGATAGTCGGGATTGAAATGAATCACGAGTTGTAAGTAAATAAGTATACGAATATTTGAAAACATTCAAATCTGGCCGAAAACACGGACTTGGTCGTCGGGAGAATTGGTGACACGGAGAATTGTTTACAAACAATCGTACGTTTCATTTAATTGCGAGGCGTATATGGGCGTATCGGTGATACGACGACACAATCGCACTCGCTTCGCGATTGGCTAACGGCCAATAGAAGAAGTTATTCCTGGATGCTCTCTCGTACTCCTCGCGAAGTCATTCACAGATAAGAAACGAGCGCAAAGACACGCGTTAATTTTCGTATCTCTCGCAGACTTTTTCGCTCGTCTTTCTTTATCTACAAACAACAAATTCATTCAACATAATCATTGGACAAACGTAGTCTTGGTTAAAGCTGTAATCGAGATTTCCCAATGGAGATTTCTTACGATAAGTCATCGGCAGAAACGACCGTTTCTCTGCTCCATCTGATTCGTTACAAATTCGAGCTCGACGCGTTAAATCATCTTACGAAACGAAGCGTGATCGATTTACGGTAGCTATCGAGTTCTCTTCTAGACGATAGGAAACCGATCTTTGCGTCGGCGTCGCGTTCATTTTACACCACGTTAATCAAATCGTGTAGCAGAAAAGTCAAACGAGCTTTGTATTACAGGTGCAAAGTTGGTAAACCGATACCATCGTGATTTTAATTCAATTCAGACGTTACATCTTCGGTTTCATCGGATTACACGAGATCCACGCGCGACATAAAGACTTAGAAATTCTACGCTTCAACAAATTGTTAAAAGATATTTATTTTATTCTGTGCAGGAGTCTGAACTGTTGGATAAAAATACCGACTGGATCTACGAATGGAGTTCGCGTCCAGACCAAGTGCCGCCAAAGTACGCAAGATATTCTAATTTTAAATATTTAACCAGTCCTTCAGATTTCCAAGACTATCGTATCCTACGAGCTGTAACGTACGTTGTATGCTAGCTTCATTTTTGCATTTCAGAGATTGGAAATTCAAGCATCCTTTAGGAATGAACAAAAGGAAATCGTACAGCATTCGTACCACGAAAGTTGGCAAGATTGGATTGTTCTCCAAAGAGGTCCTCTACACTCTTTTCATTACAAACATTCTGTCCGTTTTGGTTGGAGCTGGCCTAGGGTAAGACTTTATTTAACGCATTATTTATCGCTCGTCTCCCAAATGAGAATCGTTTCTTAAACGTCCTATAACGAACGGTGCTCTTAAATCGTAAAAACGTATCCGGTTCACAGAGTCTGGCTAACCAGGCGGGGATCGATAACGTCCAGCGTAACCATTGAGTGAAGAAACACAGCCAGGAACGCGAATACGAGGATTGCTGGCCTTGAAATTGCAAAAAGGATGGAGTAAAGGATTGTTCCATATCGAGCTGCAAGAAAGACTGAAGAGCCAAGAGGGTCGATTGAGCCTAAAAAAAAAAGAAGGAAACACGCATCACATTATTTCGATTACCTTCGATTCTTAATATTAGCACTATTCGTCTTAACCTTTCCCTGCCCTCAAAACTTATCGGTGTACTTATCGAACGCCGTATTATCGTGTAAGTCGTATTCAATTATATGCTTAGGGAGAAATGCTAAAAAAGAAAAAACAAAGGAAAACACAAAAAAATATAATAAGAATAATATGATTTATTATTATAGTCTAGCGTTGTTGAGAAAACAAAACATGTCCAATTTTATACCGTTTCTAATGCGTTTCTATCTGCGATAGTTTATAGGTATATAGCTTGGATAGTATTTATCGATAATTAATTATTACTTGTTACTTGAAGCTGAAACAGAGTTGAGCAAAGATACAGAATGTTTATGTAGGAAGTGGATATATGAGAGAATTTGCATTGTTCGGACATGTATGGAATACTACAAAGAGAGTACACGGCATAATAACGAGAAAGAACGAATAATAAGGGGTCACGATAAGAAAGGAGTTGTATGAAAATTCTGCTGCATTGAAATTAAAGTTCAATGTTGATATGAATATGCAATCGTGTTCTAACACAATCAACATTCGATTAACGAAATTCGTGGTTTCCTCGTTTCGACAGAATAATAATTGAAATCTTTTCATAACGTACAGTGTATAACGTTGAACAAGAATAAATCGATCCGTAAGATTTTTTGTTCCGTTCTCGTGTTTTTGAGTTCGCAAAGTTTGCGACGGTCGAAAGTATACGCGTGCTAAAAGATCATACGTTTAGTCATTCATATTTCATTTCATAATAAATTAAACCGAGGACTGATAGTTGGAACACAAATATTTACTTTAAATTATTCGGCACATATCTATTCTTATGTATTTATTATGTAGATAATACCGAAAATGCACAATTCTACAAAATTGTGTTTCGATAACAGATAAAACACAAATAATCGTATGTAATCCTTGTTTAATCTTAAAAATTGACCGAATTATCAGTTTCGTGGAGTTAAAAGTCGTGTTTCTTTCGATAGCACAACGTGTGACTTTGATTAAATTATGTCGAAATAAACTACTTGATAGCGTTCACATTATTTTGTCAGCTTTTTAAGGTTCATCGTGTTCTTTCACAAATAATAAATATACATATATACCTGTACCGCGTATTCAGTGTAAGATGCTCTGTATATTATGAAATAGTGCGTACTCGATGTAAGTAGGAATTAGCCACGCAGGTTTTTTGTATTTTCAATATAATTCTGTATATTATATACCAACGTTTTATCTTCTTCTCGTTTAAAAGGACACGAACAACGTAACAAAACTAAAGTTTCACGTTTCAGCGTTTAACATGAAGTATCCGCAAACACGGATTCTTGATTATTTTCCGTTCGAATAGCATCTTGGTCGATAATCTCATTTCAACAAAAATGGCGCACAAACCGAAAAACCCGGAACTAATTTATCCAAAAAAACGAACGTTCAAGTAAGTCTCGTCAATCTCTCGTAACATTTCGCGTCATAAACTGGAAACTAACGTTACACGTTTCACGGACAAAAAAATAATTTTCATCAAACCGCGCTTTCTTCGAGCAATGACAAATTACGATGACGCGGATGGTTGCGAGAGAAACGTCAGAATCTTTGTCAGAATCCTTCCGCTCGAGAGTCCTTGCGCATCGTGCATAAGAATCGATACGGCACGCAAGGTAATTGAAATTTTGCGCTCGTGCCCGACACGGTACGTAACGTTTATAAAACATCCTTTCACCATTGCGTGTTTCATTCAGAAAATCTATGTACGATGTTTGCAAGAAATGCAACCGAACAGAATTGCTATATCGAGAGAGCCGTCTTACTGGTGCTTCCAAACGGACGGAATTTTCTTGGACTCGTCGCAGGAAGAGGTTTACCGTGTTTCGAGCGAGGACCTCGTGACTAAGTAAACGAGAGTCTGACATTTGTTGTTTCAGACAACTCGTGACTTAACTAAACGACAACGATTTAAGAATTTTAGATGGGGTGAGTTGTGTTTTAATCGGCCATGGACAAACGGGCTCCGGGAAGAGTTTCACGATCGGTGGACTTCGGAACAATTGGGAAGTATGCGACCCTTGGCATTGTTTCGCGTCATCTCGCAGACGTACACGTAGCGATTACGTTCTGTTTCGCAGCACAGAGGTCTGGTCGCGCGGCTCTTTTCCGACATGTTCGCGGAGAGGACAAATAGGAAGAAAATCAGCAAGATACGGTATCGCTTGAGCTTCATCGAGTTGCGCGGAAAAGAAGCAAGAGACTTGCTGCTTTCCGAAGCTGAGAATAGGGTCTGGATTAACGACCGAGATCCGTTCAAGGTGTTGCGTTCTACCTTTGCGATACAATGCTAGACAAATTTTTAACCGTATCCAATCTAGGATATCTCAATGGTTGGCATCGATACCGAGGAAGAGGCTCTGAAAATGATTTTCGAAGGGGAGGTCAGAAGATCGTTCGTAAAAGGATCGACGTATCTAGCGTCTCACTTGGCCACGGCAGTGATCACTATTCACGCGACCAACATTGGCCTAATTACATCATGGGGCGTCGTAACCACAGCCAAAGTAACATCTAGTATCAAAGTTTCGATTCCACTTTCCTAATCGATTATGAGTTTTTACGAAATTTTCATTCAGCGATCCATTCGATCGTTTCGCGTTCCCAGATTCACATCGTCGAGATGGCTGGTATAGGATCAGCGGGCAAAAATAATTGTTGGAAGACGCCGTTGGATATTGGTGCGGCGAATTTGACAAAGAGTCAACTGGAACAATTTTTCTCGTATTTCTCAGGCACGAAACCAGTCGCTCAGGGCGTGATACGATCCAATAATTTGTTGAAAATTTTGGGGGATGCTTTCTCAGTTTCATCCGTGATCCGGTAATTATAAGAAAAATTGGCATCGATCGGTGCCACGAATTTGCTCGTTTCGGTACATCGCGAGTTTCCTATCGATAGTTTCGTATCCCACATTCGAATCACGAAGGAGGATATCAATGTCACGTTATCAACTTTGCGATTCACCGCAAACATCGTCAGGCTAAAGCCGGTTAAGCTGAAGGAAGACGTTAGCCATCGATCGGATCGTATAACGCTGAGGCTTCGGGACGAGGTTGACTTTTTGAAGAAGAAGCTGATGTTAAATGATCTATTTCTACGGCATGAAGCTTCGACGAATGTCTCCAAGTCGCGAACAGAACAGATTAATCGGAGCATTCTGCTATTTCTCGATGGGACGATTTCCAATTTTACGTTGTTTGGTGTTTCTCAAGTCGAGGTGCTGCTGAAAAATATCAAGGATTTATACAACAGGTTATATCATTCTTGTTAGTTGTAACATAATTTTGAGGTCAATGTTCTGACGAATGGGTATACCAGATTAATCGCTAAAGAGGTCGAAGTTGAGAAGCTGAGAGAAACCTACGAGAATATCACGAAAAATATGGTGCGCTTGAATGCGTCGGCACGATCGTCGAAGGTACATAAGTCCCGTCGCGTTACTCATCGTATCAATGATCCATCGATCAGTTGGTTGATTGGTTCTTTTAAAGTAAAATTACACAAAATCGATGTAGGATGTTGTATCGTCGACCGATGTTCGGTCCGATAGTCGAAAAAGAAGGAGTTCGCTGGGAACCTTACTCGAGTTTACACAAATTTCGAACGAAACGAGCAGAGAGGAGGTTGGAAGTTTAGACAAAACGGGTAGCTCCATTTTTCTATCTCACGTTGATACTTTTAACGCTTTAAAGAAGAATTTACGAAATAAATAATTTGAAACATCGAGCAGCGTTAGGAGTAACTTTGGGACCGCATCAAGAGAAAGAAGGAAAAGAAGTATCGAAAAACGATCAACATCCAATAGTACCCAATCAAGTCGTTAAAATTGATAGTCAGAGTGCCTCGATGGTTTGGATTGTTATCTCTATTACGTATACGATATGTTTAATTAAGGCATGATCTCATCGATCGTCACGGTTTAATTAAACATACTATATTAGAATAAAGTATTTTGTTGGTCGCTAACTTGTCTGTATCAAAGGTTCGACGACTGTTCGAGCGTTTCCTAAAAGAAGAGAAAAAGTACGAGAGAATTAAAGAGAAATTGGATAGAATTGAAAAATCTCTCGTTATCGTTCGTCGCAGATTCTTGAACTCGATCGACAACTATTTCCAGGTAACGAGCATTCGCGTATACATTTTCGAACAGCACAACGCTGAATTATTCCCCAAATGCATAATTAAGAACGTAACATATACATATTATACATTAGGCGAAAAGAAATCTGGAGAATGCGCGCGATAAGCTTAGAAAACAGCGACAAATTCGATTCGCCAACGACGCAGAAATCAATGTCCCAGAAGTTGAAAGAGTCATTGGTCGCGACATCGCGTGTTACGAAAAAGTCCTAACAAACTTGGAGGAAGAGCTTACTCGAGCAGAAAATGAAATCCGTGATTCTTCGCAGGAACAACTCGAGCTGCGTTTCAAACTGAAATCCGGCTTCCGAGAGTATTGTATAAAAATGGATCTCTTACCGGTTTATAACGAGAACTCGATGGAAATGTTGTTAGAACCTGTCGATAAGGAATCGTTAAGAGTAATTAGACGTAGGTTTAATCAGTTTCAACGAACAATGGTGCGCAAGTTAGAGGTAAATATTTTAGACAAAACTATAATTTCGTATAATTTCGCGAATTTCGTTCGCTGCTAAAGCATTCCTAAAATATCGCTGCGTATCTAAATTTAAGCAGTGACATGTAAGCATACAAATTTTTAGTTGGTCAGCGCCTCTATCGGGAAAATGCCCAAATTTGTCCTCGAATAGTTTCTATTTTCAAAGCTAGATAGCGCCATTAGCCACATAGTGGTTTACCGACATTATGGTAATGTACCGGCAGGTGCCGATAAACAATGCAAATGGCGCCATCTAACGGCGAAGAAAAGAACTATTCGAGAGGACAAGCTTGGGCGTTTTCCCGGTGGTGCGCTGTACGGAGGTGGTTGGAATTTTAGTTCGACTCTCTCACCGCGAGATGCCGATACCGTCGGTCCACCATTAAATGGCGCGTGAGAATTTGAATTTAGTTGCGTAACCGATAGTATTTTTCTCTAGCATACTTGTATTATCGTTAATCTTTTGAGTGCTACGTAACGTGGTATGATTTCGCGTTGCTAAACGCTAAGCGTACTTTCTTATTTCATATTTCCGTACTATTTCATTCTATCGATGTTAGGAGAGAGAGAAAACGAAGAAAGTGCGACTCGATGATAAACGGGCATGCAGGGATATCAACTAAAAACGATAAAAAGTATATACTCGTAGATATTTGCTGTAGCGATGGGTGCTTTTTCATGTATCGCAATAAAAGTATTCGAATTCATATGAACGTAACGTTATTCGACGAATAATTATTACGATTGGACTAGAGTTTAAACGCACGGTCGACGATCAAAGTTCGTCACTGGTGAATCATTTCCAGCAGATCTCGCAAAAATCCCGGTAGATGTCTCCGACTAATTCTTTACGCGCGTTGTAGATCTTTCAGATCTCCGCCGATGTTCGACATTGGTGGATCGCGGAATTCGCGAAGCAACAATCTTGGTCTTTTCTCGATCTTTTACTCGAGTTGTCTTAACGTCGCGAGACTGTTGTTGAAAGTGAACCGAGTCGAATACAGAGAAAAATTTCGTCGTTGAAATATCTTGATCGATGGATCTCTCCTAACTGGAACCGAGAGGCAAGAATTCAGTCGTACATACAATGTCTGCGTTGGAAGAATACGTTTGTCTGCTCTCGGCGGAAGAGAAGGCGTACATGGCGGCAAATTTGAACGAAACCGACGATATAAGACCCGTTAAAATCACCGAACTCAGAGAATATATCATGGGAAACGATGATCTACACGCGCCTATCGGTATCTTTAATTTCAATAAGTTCAAAGGGGTAAACTCTCCTTTGATTTCTTTGTCTCTAACGCTAAACAAAGATGGATGGATATTGTTTTCGTAGACGATTTCTTCATTCTACGTTTTCTGCGAGCAAGTAAATTCAACGTAGAAAAAGCAAAGTGCAAACTGTTAAATTATTTAAAGCAAAGAGCGAATCTTCCGGAATGGTACAGCAACAGAGATCCTTTTCTGCCGGAGTTACAAGAACTCTTCGATCTTGGGTAATAACCGTACAAATATTTTGTTCAATTTATTTCGATACGAATATTTTCATTTACGGGGGTTTAACGATCGATACGACGACTTGACAACTGGGTCGAACGCTAACCGTGACATTCGGAATCGCTGTCACGTTTAAAAGTTTACGTTTTCGCAGTCGGAAGATCACGTCTATATCGATAGCGTATCAGCGTCCGATAAGTTGCGACTGATAACAAGTAAAACGGACATCCATTCTGCGTCAATTACAACGCGACACGGCGACGCGACGCCGCGACGTTTCAAATGTCACCGAATATCTTGGATATATCCGTACTCCAATTCTTAACTCTTCCGATACGGCGCCGGCCCGTTTCAACTCGAAACCATTGAATTACGCGGCGCGTATACGTATATGTGTCAGCGAGATGATAAAAAAAAAAGATTGATCATAGAACAGTTACGATGCCGATATAACGATGTATCAACGTATAAATCCTCTGATATTCGACCGTTTCTGTTTTTTGCGTACAATTTTTCAGGATGTTTCTACCTTTGAGGAAGTTGGATAACGAGGGAAGAATGGTCGTGATAATCCGCGCAACCGTGCACACGCCTGCGAGACATAAAATGTCGGATTTGCTCAAGGTGAGAAAACGATATATCACGTAACACGTAATCGATCGCGTTAATTCGAGGGGAGAAACTGACTGAATAATGCGACACGCATTTTTTGTTTCAGGCATCGTTGATGACTTTGGATTTGGCGTTGAGGGAGAACGAGTCGGTAACCATTCATGGTCTGATAGCAATCCTGGACATCGGTGGCGTAACGTACGAACACGCGTGTCAATTACCGCCGAGCGTGATTAAGAATTTAACTCACGCGTGGCAAGGCTGTTATCCTGTCAGAATTCACTCGTTAAACTTTATCAATACACCCAGATTCGTGAACGCCGTGTTGAATATCTTTAGAAGCTTCATGAATTCAAAGTTGAAGCAAAGGCTGCACACTTATGCTCGCGGTAAATTGAAATTGAACGAAACTTTGCCGATCGACATTTTGCCGCGAGATTATGGCGGTACGGATGGCACGGTGAAGGAACTCAGCGGTACGTTTTTCATATTTGTCGAGATCTCTTTGTAGTTCAACGGCAACGAAAGGCGATTCTCGATCTTTCGAACGGCGGTTTACGTAGGTAGACGACATAATTTATTCCGTAGATTTAATTGTCTTACAGAGTATTGGAAGCGTCTCGTGGAGGACAATAGAGAGTGGTTCGCCGAGGAGGAAAAGTACAAATTGACATTGATTAAGTAACTAGATTGATTCTAATTTGCTATAACAAGCACTTGCATACGCAATCGTTCGAGTTGTTATTGCGAACTGTACGCGATAGATATTCAAGCTTTTTATATCTTTTTCTGTGAAATCTTTTTATACACAAGTTTATAAGGAAAATAGAAATGTACAGTTTCCGTTTCTTGTCTCTCCTATATATACATATACATATACATATGTATGTATATCCTATCGATGTATCCTTTACGGTATTTCTTACTCAAACATTGAGAGATAAAATTCAACTAGAAAAAATCGAATAGAAATATCGTACAATTTCGAATCTTTCAAAAATATCGGTACTGTATAAAACGTAACGGCTATGATTATTTATATACTACAGTATGATACATTTCCGTCTCCTAGGTGCGTATCGCACATTTAGCATCCGTTAACGTTCGATCGGTAACTTTGCAATCGTGTTCCCAAACGAAATTTCTTTTCTCGCAAAACTCCCTACACGACTTCGTTGTACGGTATAACGTACAATTTTTTATGGAGATTCGTTTCTCGCTTTTTCCCGCTAATGGACGGGCGAAGGAAAGAATATCGCACCGCGAGTCGTTTACCCGTGTCTTGTTTGCGATTGTTAGAATTTAAATACGAGGTACATTTATGTTCATGGGCAAGTTAAACCGTCTTACTTCTAATAGAATAATTCGTTAACAACTTAACAACTCGCTACTCGCGATCCCGTTTACATTTCAGAGAAATTTACGAGTACGCGTCGTACCGACAAACTCGAGTACAAACGCGTAGCGTTCGCCTCTTTTCGATACTTGTGGGACACCCGAGATACGCTACGTATTTTGAGCGTCCGTTACGCGATATCGTTAAATAAAACTATACGCGAGACGTGCGAAAAGAACGCCTCGAGTTATTATTTACTCGCGCGAACGTGGTCGCCACCGAAACATTTCCTACAACCCGTGGGATAAAACATCTGAACGAGACGACGAGTACTTGTCTCGGAGAGTGGATATCCGGGATAAAACGTATCCCTGAAGATGTTCGTTGTATTACAGATTTAAAAAAAAGAAAGAGAAAGAAAAACAAGAAAAGAGAAGGAAAATAGATGAGACATACTATATCTCATACAATCATTCACACGCGCTCGCATTCGCATTCGCATTCGCATTCGCATTCGCATTCCTATTCGCATTCGTACACGCAAGAATCACGTTAAACGCACAAAGGATCATCACAAGTCTGGAGGTCCGCGTACGAGAAGATCGTCGAAGCGATCCTTCCACTCGCTTCGAGTTTTTCATCCCGACAGCCGACCGTGATCGAACTCGAACCGAGTCAACGTATTTCTAATTTCTTTTCGCGGATTCGCGCGGTAGCTACAACCGATGTGCAACGAGCAACACGGTCACGCGATTAATTTTCTATCCACGCTTGAACTTGAGCACCATTATACTTATCGTGAGAAACACGACTATCCAAATGATTGTCGAGATAAAGCCGTTGTAGACGTCTGGTTCCGAGATGGTCCAACCGCGGGTGAGCATCGAACGCAGCGACGTCGTAGCCATCGTCAACGGCAGACCCTGAGATATGTATCGCAGGACCGTCGGCATACCTTCGACCGGCCAGATCACGCCTGAAACCGAAACCATCGCGTTTTCTTTAATATAATTGCGATTCATAATCGCCAGACTATTAGCGTACGCAACAGTGGTCGACATTTCTTTTTTCTCCTTTTTCCAACACTTTCAGTTTTACAGTCCGATATTTTTTTACGTCGACGATCGATGTAAAGTTTTCGCGATTATCGATTCAACGAACGAGTATAAAACCGTCTCTTCGGCTTGTTTCTTGCTTTCCGATCGATTCCGTTGCTATTCTCTCGTTTTCCTAAATTCGTACTCTATCTACGTATACTTTATGTACGTACCACTCAACAGCAAAGTAGGATAGAAACTTCCTAGTGCCAGCTGGATCGCATTCCGTTCGAGTTCGCAGATCGCTGAAATCACGAACCCTGCAAGTAAAAAGGAACGCGTGTCGTAAAGCAATCCGTTGGCTCGATGGGCATCGTTGCTAACATTCTCGCGTATCTTCGAAGAAAGTTTGTCAATACGTTCGACGAAACGAGAAACGATAACGCTCTTTCGAATCGAAGGAAAAAATTCGTTTGTTGGGGGGCGAACTCACCGAAGCACATGCCGCAAAGACCTTGAAGAATCGTCAGCACGATCACCCAGCCGATTTCTCCCTTGCATTCGACGCTGAACACCAGGATCATAAAGATTAGTACCAGCGCGGTCTGACCGCACATCACGACGAATTGGGTAATGACGTGGGAGAAGAGAACCTCGCCCGGTGAGACTCCCGCGACCCAACTTCTATCCAAAAGACCCTCCATCCTCTCGATGATTAAAACGGACGAGGTGAGGGCCACCGCCAAAAAGAATACGATGCTGAACAAATCAAATATTTTACGTTGCTACGTGTCCGTGCTGTCAACGAACCAATCAGAGACATTGCTGTTTGCTTACGTCAAGATTACTCCTGGTGCCACAAAGTCGGTAAAACTAGGCTCATTGGTGCCGTAAACTGGATCCTTGAATTGAATCGGGACGTCGGCCAGTTTCGTATTTTGCTCGCAAGCCGATAAGAGGTCTTTGGCAAAATCTCTGTACGAATACTGAAGATTTCTAGCCAGCATCAGGCCAATCTGTTGATCTGTAGGAAACGATGAACGACGATTATGGCGTCGACGCGAATGAATAAATTGAAAAATGTCAGACTCACTGGACATGTCCAACCAGACCCTGATCTCGCTCTGATCCAAAGTCTCGTCGTCGGCCTCTCTTCCTAGGGCCATTCGAGCGACGAGGGCGTCCGTAAAGTTTTCGGTAAAGTACAGCGTTCCCCAGGCATCTCCTTTGCGCACGGCGTCCATTGCCGTTGCAGGATCTGGATAATACACCTGAGAAACGAACGTAGCTATAGACGACCGCGAACAGCAATCGTGACGCACCGCGCCGCGTCGTTTTCGGTCGTCGATCGAGCAATTTTTAGCGATAACGTTACCTTGATCATCGTATCGTTATCCAAGAATTTCAGGTAACGACAACTCAGATGGGAAAAATCGCAATCCTTCGAGACCGGACAAGACATGTTTTCATAGAACATTTCGTGATTTACTATCGCCAATTTCAGCCCCGTTGGATCCCTGCCGATCGCCAGGCAGAAGAGGATCACTTGCATTACCGGCAGGGCGAATATAAACAGCATTACTCTGCGCATACAATACGAGTTCTTACACGAGTTTATTCGAAACCAAGACTCGGAACGAGAACTTACCCCACGTTCCTCCACATGCGTAAAAAGTTCTTTTGCAGGAGTGCTTTCATCTTGCCCGTGCTGGTTATCTTGTAGCAATCCGAGAAAGTTCCGCAGTTGTTGCACTCCAACGTCGAGCTCTTGGTGCCTGGCAGAGGTTTCCCGTTCAGCTGTTTCGCAAAAACGTGCACGCGTTTCAGAGAGGCTCGAGAATTTTTTCGAGAAAAACCTCTCGTCTACCATATATCGCTTATAACTTTGCGAAACTATTGTACTTATACGAAAGACGAAACCCGTTAGTTTGTTTACGGTATAAGAAAAGCTTTACAGTGTCTTACGTCGTAATGACTTCCAATGCCATTCGTCGAGTCGTGAATGAGAACTTCTTTGCTTTGGTGGAAGTTGAGCCCCACGACGCCTGACTCCTCCGTCACGTAAACGGGTTCGTTCTTCTTACCCCAATTCAACGAAGCCTATTTCATAAATTTCAAATCAGAGTTTCGATTAGGATGTTTTCTCCCGACAGTCTTCCCGACTATTCCTTGCGACTAGGAACAACAAAATTATATCACTTTATCAGACTAACTCTTACCAGGCTAATGTTATTCGAGATGTTCAATTCGGTGGGTGGCTGAGCGTACTGACCCTGTTTTCTCGATAGCTTCAGGAAAACTTCTTCGAGAGACGCACAGTTGTATATCGTCAGGAGAGCTCTTGGAGATTCCTCGGCCAGCAAGCGTCCGCTTCTCATCAAACCAATCTGTCGACAGAAAATTTAGGCTATCGAGTTCTAGGTAAAATTCTGTAACTAGACCCTACTCTAATTTATAATCGTATCTTTGGTTGATCTATGGATCTGTAACGTTTCATCGTAGTCTGCGTCAGAAACTTGACGAATGATCCTTGTAACTAGAATTTTGTTTCATCTGTTTGGAATCTTAAGACGGAAGAGATTATCGCGAAAGACCTGCACGACTCTTTTGAAACGTTGCGTCGGCGTCGAGGTGAACGCGTCTCTCGTGGAAACGTATCGCGTTTGCGGTAACGAAACCGGCCGCACCGGTGTAACACACGGTGACAATTTCAACCGCACGGCTGATATGAAAAACGTAAGAACGGCAATCAAGGGACGTCGGAAAACAAACAGACTCGTAATTTGCGCGCAACGTAATGACAAAGCGAATCGGACAAATGGACACGGAATAGATTACGAACTGGAATCGACCAGTCATTCTAGCGACGCTCCGAAGAAAAGAAGCATGACGGGATGACAAAGATGTAGCACAAAACGACACGCTTCGAGTGCCAAAAATAATTTGCTGCTTTCGGTGATAACTGAAAATATTGATTTCGATAGAAATACTTAGTTATCGCTGAAATCAATTATTTTTAGCGCGCTACGTACGAATACTGGCCCACTGCGAACGTTGCGTTTGCTTTTGTATTCGGTTGCATAGCGTTCGATTTGTATGCAACGCGATATTCTGCCCCGAATATTCTTACATGCGTCCGATTTACGCAACGTTTATCCTACCGTGTGCGCCTGCCGAGCCTCTTCGATATAATGCGTGGTTATGATGACGGTTTTGTTGCCGTCTTTGGTGATTTGGACCAAGTGGTTCCAGATGCTGTAACATAAAAAGGAAACACGATCAAGTCGTCGGCCCTGAAATACGGCGAATCGTCGGATGGGTCCGTTTTCGTATCCGAAAATATAAAAATACACACCACATAGGAGAGACACCTAGCCACGGAAGCGATCAAGTTTCTTTATGGCTGTCGTTGGACTCGTCAATTTCATTTTCGAGAAACTGGCGTGAAACCGCTCGTAAATACCGGTGATGCGACGCCGACGATGAGAAGCCGCGTACACGCGCAATGACCCAACGAAGAGGCTCTACTCTCTTTGAAACGAGCATAATCGCATCGCGAACTTTCTCGCGACTAACGAGACCTTCTCTTTCCCCGTCTTTTGACTTTCCAGCAAAAATAAGAGACGGTTAGAGTCAGCCAGAGCTACTTTGACGACCCGTACGAAAGATTTCAAACTCCCGGAAAAGATACATGACTCGTTCGCGGATGTTTGAGTATCGGGGTACTTTCGACTCGCGACAGGTAGAGAATCGCTGTTCGTAACTCGATTGGAGATTTTTTCAATCGAAATCGGTGCCGTTAAGCTCATTATACGCTGGGACGTATCGCTTGCGAAATTTGTCGAGCCACGTCACACGATGGCCGAAGTAGGTTAAGACAACTACTAAGACGACGTTTTCCACGTTCCACCTTGGCTGATGATAACACAACGCCCCCCCCCCCCCCTTCTCTCTCTCTCTCTCTCTCTCTCTCTCTCTCTCTCTCTCTCTCTCGGAGCTAATTCGAAAGCGCGTCCATTGTAAATTACACGCATCCTTGCTGGAAGCAACGATCGTCGATGGCAATAGTGAAAAGGAAATTTATCGGGCGTCGTAAATGGCCGGTGCTCGATAAGTAGAAATGTAAAACGCGGACATCCTTGAAAGAGCTGGATATACGATAAAACGCTGCGACCGAGGTTTTCAACCTTCGAATCTGTACGACGCGAAAGAAATCTGATACGCGAATCGAAGGAAGTTTGGCTGTTAAAGGCCCCAATTGCGACGTTTCAACCACAAAATGAATTTCTACCAAGTCTGACGTCTGACGATTAAGATTTGTTTGGAATCCACGGTTGTTCGAATTTCGATTTTATTCTCTTGAAATATTTGCATAGTCTTCAATGAAACTCACCTCTGTCGCAGCAACGGATCTACACCCACGGTTGGCTCGTCGAGAATCAGGAGCTCGGGATCGTGCATCAGGGCAACAGCGAAGGACACGCGTCTCTGTTGGCCACCGCTGAAAAAAAAACGAAACAAGTATTCCGTCATTAGCGAACGCACAAGGTTTCGCAACAATTTCAGTATGGACGATTTCGAAATGAGACAACAATGAGTAAACTCTATTCGAACGTCGAGTGTCCTGAACGATAAAGCGACCAAAAAAGAATTTAAGAATCCGACAAAGTTTCGTTTACAGATCACAGCCCAAAGATTAGTTTTAAAAGGTATCTCGAGTCACGCGTGAGAAAATTCGCGATAGGATGTTGGCTACTTTAACGCGTGGTATTGTGTTTCGTTTCATCAGAAATCAATCTATTCGGCTCCCTACGTTACCTGAGATTCTTCACCAGTCGATTTTGCGAGGGTAAGTCCAAGAATTGCAACAGAAATCGCAGCCTATCCGTGATTTCGGTGGTGCACATGCCAAATATCCATCCAAAGTACATCATCGTCTCGCGAATAGTAAACTCGCCGTAGAGCGCTATCTCCTGCGGCATGTAGCCGACCCTCTTTCCTGGAACACCGGATCCTTTTGTGCCCGGTTTGCCACCGAGGACCCAAATCTCGCCCGAATTTAATCGTCTTCGACCGACGATGCAAGAGAGCAGGGTCGTTTTGCCGCAACCACTGGCGCCGAGCAGTCCGTATCTGTTCGAAACAACAGATGCCTACCTTAACTCCTATCATTTTATAGCGCATTTTTCTATATAGCGCGATAACGTAAGTAAAAGTCTTTCCAGGATAACGCGAGCGTAATAGTTATCTAACGAAAACAATCGAACGAGGTACTTTTATTCTGGAAACTCTCGACTCGAATAAAAACTTTGATTATTTTCATTTCAGTGGAAGCACAGGTATTCCAGTCGAATCGAATAATTTCTCGGTTTATCGCGCATCGTAACGTTGAATCGTTTTATAAATTGAAAGAGCAAAGAAGATTTACGGGAGATGGTCACGTTCCACTGGTTCCGTTCATCATAGCTTTCTAAGAAAGCAGCGTTTCGTTTCCTTTTACACGGTCAGTTGATCCTTCCAATTATTAAAAACCCCTTCGGGTTAAAGTTACGCTAAAACCAGTTTTTTAACCGTCGAAACGTTAGAAGAAATTTGTTTCGATAATTTGTTTCGCCGAGTCGAAAGCGTGTTCTCGCTTTTGTAATAGTTCGCATCTGTTACGCAACAAGTTTTGGAGTTACGCGAACAAGGAAAGTTCCAGCGTAATTTGCACATTCTCGTTCAGTTTAATAAGGCAACCGTTGTATGAACGCAATTTCATCACTCGCGAATCAGCATAGACGTAGCATAGTCTGACGAGATAGATGTCGCTATACTTACATGGAACCTTTCGCTACGGTCATGCTAAGATTCTGGATAACATGATTCGGATTTTTGCTGCTTCCGTAGGTTTTGAAGGCGTGCCTGACGCTGACCGCTTGCTGACGATTCCACGCAGGGTTGTTTAATCCCGGAGTGGCCAGAACCGTGCTCGGCGTCATCGTCACGTCCATCGTGCTGTCCGCGTTGTTTTGCATCGTTCCCAGAGTGTTCGCGTTCACCGGACCGCCACCGACTGCTGTCCCGTCACTGCAACGCCAAAACAAAACTTTGCGTAATCGCGATATTCGGCATCACGTCTATCCGCTTACGTCTATTCGCGCGTCTTGGCGCGCCAACAACAAACCGGAAGGTACGAAAACGCGCGGACGACCATCGAGGGACGTTACGTTCAAAGTATACAGTTTACGTGCACAGGCGCGAGTTCGAGTAATAAAATTGTCCCATAGGAACTCGCATGACGTAAAAGCATACTCGTTAAGCAAATTAAACATCGAATCGTTAGCTCGCGCTATAGCGTACGCGCGTGCAACTCGACTTCCTCGTACGGTAGAAAACAGCTTGGGTTTAAAGTTACTTTGAATTAATGTGTGACGTCGATCGAACATGCCGGATTACCAACTGCCGACGTCACGAAACAAGTCTCGGATTATCGGTGTATTTCGAAGCCACGGCCACGGTCCGTGACGCGTATACTCGTGGACTTTACGTCACTATCCAGCCACGAATGACGGCTTCACGGTATGCGATTAAATTAGGACGGATCAAATTTTGGTCGAGTCCGATTTACCCTGTAAATTATTGTCGCGCGTCGTCGAGTTTAGGGGGTCACACAAAAGTCACAATCGAATCACGTTTGAATCAGCGATGCGCTAAGAAGTCGCTGCGTGTATTTCCTGTTACGCGTGCGACACGCTGAAACCGTATCGTAGTCGTGCAAACCGCGCATCGAATCACGCGTTCCATTCGCTCGATGCTACCGATCGATTCGAGAACGGTATCGAGGGATCGTGAACCGTGACCAATGCGACTCACGATCGAGCCCTACGCGCGAACCCTTGGAGCCATACCTTACGAGCATCGCTACGGGCTCTGTATCGTACTTACGTACTACGTACGGTTTAGAAAGAGGGAGTCGTGCCGAGTTACGTAAGAAAACGGCTTTCTTTTCGTTCACGCTCGCCGGTTCATTGGGCAACCTATCGACGTACTCGTATGCCGGCACGCGGGTGATCATGCGCCATATACGTATACGTCGTTGAAATCTAACTCGTTGTTCCCGTGGACGCTGGGAATCGTATAGCTGCCAGCTGCTCAAGGCCGTGCAAACGTGTCCTCCGGATTCTTCATTTTTCTTCGACGTCTCGTAATACTCGATTGTTTTCCTTAGGAACGGGGTGAGATTATTTTGAACGGGGGATGTCTGGAACAGTTGTGGTGAAAGACGGGAATCGTATCGAGTGGAAAACCGATAGAAATCAGGCTGCAAAGGTCGAGATCTCGAGGCGATTCGATTTGGTCGATCGATGAAACCGAACGGCAACTTTCTCGACGTTCTCGTGAATCGAGCAGCGTTGATTCTCTCGCGGTTAAGTTGCAGTAGCGAGTGCGCGGAACGCGCGCGCCGCGAACGAGGAAAAGCCAACAAACCAACCGTTTCGTAACGTTCCTCGCCGAGCGGATATCGAAGCGCGGAAGAAAGCTACGACACCGAAGACGTTTCTACCGATTTCAGCGGAATCTCCCTATGTCGATGACCGCGACAATCGCGTCGGTGAGTCGAGCTATGGACAAGATCGACGAGTATCGTCTAACGTCGCCTCTACTATTACTCGTTGTACCATTATTAAAATGATGAATGTGTCGCAGTGTAAATCCAAGATAATATTTCACCGAGTGTATCAACTTGGACGGGTGGCTATAGTCTGTTGGTAGCGTAAGCGTTGCAAACTAATTCGTCTTTGATCGATGGCACGAGTACGCGGTACTCGATAGTCAGCCACGCAAGTAGATAATGGTCGCAGTAGTCAGACCGAGCCAGCCAGAACTAATTTACGGTTAGATTACTTAGTCTGCCATCGTTTCGAGGGAACGCGCGTTACGGATATTCTCTGTATCTTCGAATAAATGTAGGGAACCGTAACATGCGCGATCGAGGAATTTCAAAATTAAACAAATTTGGGAAAATGGATTTATCGTTAATCTCGTATCGAGTCGAGCTCTCGACTATGGTAACGTGAAAGTAATAAAGCATATATCGATAAAAGGGATTCCCAATGTCTCGATACTGATTTCGTTGCGTTTTGGATCACAGGATAAACCATCAGACCTGTCGTAACTCACTCTCGACGTATCCGTACCAGTTTTTCAAAGGCATCGTCGCAACGACAGATTTAAGAACGTCGATCAATCACGTCGTACGTAACAGTGTTTAGTATTCAAAAATCGACTCGAGCCCGAGAGATGTTCGCGTCGTGCAGCTCCATCGGAATTGCGCAACTCGACATTCCAGAGGACGACATACCACGAGGACGCGTGTAGAAAGACCCGGCCATGCGAGCCTGCGTTTTCTGGGCCATGGTCAACACTCGAATTCCCAATTCTGCGCTCCATCATTTTCCCAATCGACGTTTTCTCGGAAAAGGTCCAACTTTCCCATTCCTTCGTAGTCGATTCCACGAGTGGTATAACGCATAAATTTTCGTTTCAGGCATAAAATCGAGAGTAAGTTGCAATATCCGCGACACCGAGAAACAAACTTTTTTCGCAACATTTTCATACGCTACCTTCGTCGCGAAACACGCGAACCATTAATTACCGCTTATTTAATTTTGAGCGTATTTCGTAATCGTCGTTGTTATACGGACACCTCTAATAGCATTACCGCACACCCGGTCGTTTCATAATTATATTCCAAGCCGCGCATCGTCATGCAACGGTCGCTGCAACGATACCATCTAATCGGTTAGACAGTGCTAATAACGAAGAAAAAGCAGATTGTCAGGGTTTGTCCACGCGTTTCCCTCTTGTCTCTCTCTATTTCGTTTCAATGACCGTAGGATCATTCGTTTTGGAAGATTCTACCGCTTACTTGTTTCTACATAGTTTTTCAATTAACTACCGTTGCACACCCTCGTCTCTGTTAACGAAGATTAATTTACTAATGTCAGAGAAAAAATACGGAGCGTTATACTTAAACATCGTGAGTCGTTTCAATGAAATCTATCTTGCAGTTGAACTTTATATCCGTTTTTTCTTCTTTCTTTATATAATTCTTCGCCTAATAGTTGCGTGTTTACGATCCGTAAAATGACTTCTTTAAAAGTTTTAATATGACGCGTGGTTCGCTATATTACCGTGATATATCGATAGTCGCAAAATGATTATCAATGACAAATACTTTTTTTGCCATTTACATGGTACTTATGGCGAGTCATGTTGAACGAATGCGTTACGGTTGTATATCGAGCGCAGAAGAGGTCGCATAGTTATCCAAGACTCGTCAACGATACGACGATCATCCGTAAACGCGTACACGATGTGGTTGGAATACACGCGAGGATTCTCCATTAATCGGCCGATCATTTTCATCGATCGCGACAACATTTGCGTATAACCGTACTATATCGATTAACCTTGAAGCGACTATTACTTACCTGTGTTGGAAGGATCAACCTTTTTTTCGACTGTTGCGTACATATTTTTTCATCAATTTTAGTAGCCCTTTCGTTTCAATTTGCCAATAAAACGAACACAAAAATGAAACAGTTGGAGCTGAAATAGCTCGATGAAATGGACAAAATGGATAAAATAAGTGACGCGAAAGCTAAAAATCCTTTGCTAGAAGCCAAGGCTAACTTGGTCGGACGAGGCAAACGTGTTCGGACAAGGTCAAGCAAAATCGGAAAAGACTAAATTTCCTGGAGATCGGACTACTGCAGATACAAAGAAATTCTTGATAAGTACTCTATGCGAAAAATTAGAAAGTTCGAATCTCGAGAGTATTGCCGTTGAACCAAATTACACTTGTAATATAACATTTAACAAAAGGGGTGGAAAACGTTTACTCGACGAGTTACATAATTTGCTGATAAGGCGTGAGTCGAACCTTAACCTTGGTTTAATTTCGATTCACTGCGTGCAATCGACCAGAGCATGGATTTTGCGCGTGACTTACATTATAACTGCGAACGTCGGATCCTGCGACTCGGGCCTCGTTCGGTTCGACCTTGGTCGCTTCTTTCATCTTTTCGCAACCATGGTATCAAGCCACCTCATGATCTCGATTCTTGTATTATTATATACATGTATAATATTTTCGAGCTACGATGAATTTTAGCGTTATCGGAAAATAGCACAGAGAATAGTCGTTCGAGAGGAAGGATACTTGGATACGTTTGTGTCTTTAACAAGATTTTAAATATATTCTCGGTCTGGATGACCAGATGGGTTAAATATTGGGCGGGAATCGCTACGAACGTCAAATGTTATGCGACGATGATTTTCCATACTAGTTATACAACAATATTTTCCAGCTAACCTTCTTTACGATTGGTCTGTATTAGCAAACATGTTTTTACCTGAGTTTTTCTTGGCTCATGGATCAAAGTACAACGACGATGATCTCTTTGAGAAGGAAAAAACTCTCTCACTCGTCACGAGCAAACAGCGTGATATCGCAGACGGGACGAGACGGGAAGCTTCGACTTCCCCGATGCGATGCTCCCTTCTCAAGGATGATTAAAATATACTTTGATTCTGACCACTATCGATGCGAGACCTTCGACTGACTTAATGAAAAGCAGTAAACCAGAATTGACGTTCGGCTTGCGTCATCGCGAGACAACATTTCTTCGAGAACAAAAGTTTTCTTCAGCGGCAGCGTTCGGAAATAGCGACTTTGTCGATGAAGAGATTTGAGACGATTGAGAGAATTCCAACTGCCCTGTCGAATATTTTAAAGACAAAATAGTCGGACATCGAATTCTTTTACTAGACAAATTTGTCATACATGTTTCAGAGTAGAATGATCGAGACAAGACGAGAGGAAAATAAGAAAAGACACACCGCTTAGGTAAAAATATGTATATCCAGTATCCATGCTTTCTATAGGGATTTGTGTTGCTAATATACATATATTTACATTCAGTTGTCTCTCGACAGGTTTACATGTTGGAGAGAATTTGAATAATACACTAATATGTACTTCTTTGTTCAGACATACGAATTCATATGGACTCGCGTCGAGTAGCCATTAGCGCTTTTTCTGCGGTGATTATCTTGCGGACAAACAGGAAACGAGTATTGAAATCGATTGAATATTCTAACTGTCGCAAAATATTGTCTGGAATATTTTTCTTCCATCGAGAGTATTTATCGAATCGGTGAATTCTGACAGACGAAGCTATACCAGTAATTTATTCGTCGATGCTAACAACGCGACGTGACGCGATCGATGATCGTGATTATTAAATTTGCGACAGCGCAACAAATTGTATAAAATACAAACCGCTGTTGATCGAGGGAGTTCGATTATGGAAACAGTTGCACTTTAGAACGTGACGATTGCTGACGCTTGTCGACCACTTCGAAGATCGTGAATCACACTTATGTATGATTCGCGGGAAGTCAACTATAATACATGTAACCTCGTAGCAATCCGATGACCGCATCAGTGACTCCAATGATACTAAAATACGTCGAGAAGCAACTCTCACTGCCAACACCGATAATACTAATTTTATCGTCGTCTAACGCAGCTTTTAAAACTGGCGTCTCTTTGAAACTCGCTTCGTTGAATCGGAAAGATGGTACATGGTACATCGAAAGTAAAAATTGAAAAAAATCGTAGGAAGAAAAAGATATTTGCCAACTTCCAGATTACGTGATCCTATTGCGTCGGAGCTGCGCACGTTACGCGAGATGCGAAGAAACTCGGCATTCTTGTCATCGAGAAAATCGAGAGAAAGCATTTCGCTTCTCTGGAGCAAGTACAAGTTAATAATGTTGCAGAGCTGCTTGTAAGGGAAAATATCTCGAGTCTCGGTGTTCGTAATTTGTAACTTAACGCTATAGTTTGTTGGAGAATCTTAGCGGCACCGGCGCGGCGTGGCTGCATAATAGTGTCGCGATCACGTTTAGACTTACATACTTGTTCAGCAATTGGCTGACACACTTATTAAAACTGCTAGATTAAGCATTTCTTTTCACGGTCTCGCACGTCACAGCTGATTGTGACTGGTATTCTCGTTAAGGAAAGTCAACTCGACGGTACCGATTTACACTTTTACCGATCGTTTGTGTTGCGCATAATACCCCAGCTTTCGTTAGGTCTCGGCTGCTTTGCCCATAACGGATTGCTCTCTTTACGGTGTCTCGGTTTACTAGATCGATCATATTTTCTTGCTTTTATTGTCATCCTTATTGTTAGAAACATGGAAAATGTTCAATTCTATTAGGTTAAACGATAAAGTTTCTTAACGAGCCGTTGCTGCAACGAGTAAGAAAGAAGAAAAAAGAGAAGAAGAAGGTTCGTTGTTTGTAGCGACGTTTAATGGTATTATTCGAGAGCAATTTGTCGGCAACGACAACGAGTTATCGACGAATCGTTAAAATTCTCGGTAGGTCTCGGCGCGGCGGAGACTTGAACGCCCGCAAACGTCGGGTCGGAATAATAACGTTCGACGGAACGTGGTACTATTCCTTCAAGTGTAAGATTGGGATAAACATGAAATGGTATTAAATGCAACGTTATCGACGCATATCTAAACTAAAGATCGCAAAACACTTTTGGTTTCTTTAATAACTTTGTTGCGTTCGTGCTGTTCTTATTCACGGCTCCCTCCGTATGTGATCGAAGCGTCGATCGTCGGAAAATTAATTTCTCGATTCGCTGATCTTTTGGTGTTCGGTTACGCAATTTGCCGATTCGTCGTAAAATTATACGATTTCGCAAGCTGTAAAGTTTTCATCGCGCGCGAGACTCACGGATTACGTTTACGATAATACAAAATTACACAACGAACGCACGCGCGCGCGCACACAAGTATGCGATGGCGGGAACGTGTGCCGAAAAGTAACGAGGTCGGCCTTCCAATTGCCGTTTCGGTTCGGTATTTTCAGTAGACTGTCATTGACTTTTACCACCGTGCACACCGATCGTGTTGACCGCTGACTGGCTGACTGGTTGCGTTTTACTTTCTAGAATCGTTACGGATCGCGACTAATCGTTACATCGATCGCGCAAAATTCGTTCTTACCCGTAATTTGCCTCAACAGCCGACCGTGCCAGCAAAAAAAGTAACGCCTTTCGTTTTCGACAGGTTGACCGAGCTAGTAGTAATTTATCCGAAATTATCCGATACTTGATCAAAGTTGCGATATCGAGTAGTCGATGCTCAATTAGAATAAATGCAAATAAGCAATCGTATTTCCCGGCAAATGAGAACGATCAATCTTGTATTAAAGGCAACGTGATGTGACCTACGATTAATATATATGCTATCCCGAAGTAAAAAAAAAGTATGGTTATTATCATCGTTGAGATACAAAGTTCGATTACGGATAATCGAGTAATACGATAAAAACTGGTTTAATCGTGACATAATCAGGGCAATTCGAAACCAGTGTAAGACCATTCGCTGGTCGCCAGTTCTCGCACAATGGAAACACCTGTCGTTTGGTCTAATCGAATCAGGGGCAGGTATAGAAAGCGTGAAAACCGAGCGACAAAAGTGCCGAACGAATTTAGAAGAAAGGTTCGCGACGCCGACGGTGCAGTTTTACTATCGACCGAGGAAGAGTCTCACGGGATGCTGGAGAATAATTTAACAGCGTGCCGTGACGCGGATGCTCGCATTTTCCTTTGCGCTGCGCCGCGCGGTCGAGAAAGTATATTTCTCCGGGTCTTTCACATCGTACCAATCTAACGTCGCGTTTGCGATTTCTTGACGAGACTGAAACAATAATTAACCTTTCTTAGATTTTATCTGGTTGGCAACGAGATTCGCGTTCTGGCACCCTTACGGACCGCTTGCCGGGGCATTTCGAGATCGCGTGCACGCTAACCGCCGACTCTGTGAAAAGAAGAGGAACTAATTGCGAGAACACGTTCTACGATGATTTCCCTCTTCATCGGAGTATATTGTATTCTTGGAGAGAGTGTAACGTAACTTTCCGAACTAAGTGCCTCGCGGATGTGGCAAACTTGCGTTTCCGTTCGATCGCAATTGTAATCCATTACCGTAAACGATGAATTGACATTCCTACGAGTTGATCGATTCGATCGAAAACTTGTCTCGGTTATCTCGAAGCGTTCTTATGCCCGATCGTGCGAGATGCGCGACAGGGAAGATTCGCGCGAAATCAGTCGGAAAATATGTATGTGGAACGCAAAGTCCACTAACGCGTTCGATTTCACCGCGAGTTCGCGTTCAGAGGATTGTCAAAATGCTGCAAAACTCTTTCGCGTCGCTTTCTATTCTGCTCGTTGAAGGAGACAGCCGAGTCACGATGAACACGGACAAAAGTCTGCTTTTAATGTAGCTACGGTGCCGCTATCGTGTCGATTGGTTCAGCTACTGAAAATAATTAATCGGCACGATGCAACAGGTGTGATCGATCGCGATCTCATCTCGATCGCTTCGACGAGTATGCCGCTGGTTTACCGCGTCTTAACGCGGTTTAACGCGCAACGAGCATAAAGGAGCGAGTGAGCTTCGTTTCCCTCTTGTTTTCTTCGTAATTATAGAGAAAACGATCGACAAAGAATTTCTCAGAGACGAAAGGCAGAAACTAACGTTCTTCCAGGTGCTACGATAATTGCTACCGTGAGAAAGACGAAGCGATTGTCGTTAAAAATTTTACTTTACGATTTAGGCGATACTCGAGAATTGCCCTATTTAGATTTACGTGCAAATCGATCGAGTATCGCGTATCGCTCTTTGTTCTTTTGTAGGGGCAGCAATCGCGGGCGAATGATCATTTTGTATCGGAAAATCGAGCAACCGTACGATTCGCGATTCAAATCGATCGAACGGAAGGACGAGAATTCGCGCACTTGGAATTCGGAGCGAATTGCAGCCGCATCGACCGGGCCGATTAAGATCGCGATTTTGCCATCGACGCTTTCGAATTTCCTGCGGCGAGTCCGGCTTTGGTAACATCGCGCCGGTTTCTCACTTTTCAACGGAAGCGAAGGGAGCACCGGAGCGTTCGACTAATGGTCAGCTTACACTTACGCGATCGGACATGTTTTTTTTTTTTTCGCCGAACGATCCCGATCCCGATCTCGACGCCGCGCGGCGCGGCGCGCCGCGCGATATAGTCGACTCTCGTGAATTCTTGCTCCGTTGCTAGCAAGAAAACTTGCTTCGTATTTCTTTGATTCACTGACGATAACGAAACTAAAATTTCTCTTCGATTCGATGTCTCGTAGTTTTAGACACCGATACATCGAATCGCGTACCTACAACTTCGGTCTGGAGCCTGTTGGAATCCTGTCGGTTCGGAATCGGCTGCGTCCCTCTCGTTAGCTCGAAAACTAATCCTCTAGGTGTAATCCTGGCAGAGAACAGACGTCATCGAGAATCGACGATCGACCGGTTGAAGCATCGGTCCTCCGGGGTCAGCCTAGCATTCCTGTACTTCCGCTCACGAACGAGCAGAGGAGCAAAGTCGTCACAAATAAATGAACGCACAACACAACAGAATTGGTACGGAAGCGAGAAGCACACAGCACCACGGATTCGAGCCGAGCCGAACTGAGCCAATCCGATCCGATTCGTTCGTTTCGAGTCTCTGGTCTAGGACGTGTCGGCCGAGAAGAATGGCTCGTGACGAGTATCGTGTCGGGTTCTCCGCGACTTTCGAGTCCTGACGCGAGACTGAAGCGGTCAGAGGCAAAGGAGAATCGAGCCCGCGAGTCGACTCGAGGCTGCCATCATCTTTCTCTCTCCCTCTCCTGCTCCTTCTCCCTCCCCCTCTTATTCTCTTTATCTCGTTGTAATAGCTCTCCCTTCCACCTCTCTTTCAATCGAGTCGGTCTATCTGTGTTCGATGAACTGCTTTCTTCGTTCTGTCGCAAGTCCACCTTCCCTCCACCTGTCCTCCTCCTTCCAACCTCGGTTTTTCGTTCGCGTACGCGAGCGCGCTGGATCGCCGCTCTTTTCAGCGTCCGTGGATCTCGCCCCTTTCTTTGCCAGTCAGCTCGCTCGATTTTTAAGTCCTGCCGTTGATCGCGAACTTTAAGCTGCCTCGAGAAATTCCGACGGGTTTCTTGACTCTCGCGGGGAATTCCCGTCGACTTGTTAGCGAGGAAGAATGACGCGAGCAACCGCGAAGCCTCGAACAACGTGTACCTAGAAACGTTGCGAGTCGTACGGTACGCAACGAAATATTTTTTCATTTTTCAAAATCCTCTTCGAAACTATTTTCTTCAAGTTTTTAAACTCACAGGTACCACGCGCGCGGTAGCTCGCTTTCTTCGGATGTTTATCGCGATATCGAAGTTTCGAGCGTTTAACCATAATCCTTCGGGATGACTTTAGGCGCGATCATTTCCGGTAATTAATCGCGACAAACGCATTACCGCGTTACTATTCTATTGCCGTTGTCGATAATAAAACACGACTGGTGGATCTTCCAAAGATGGCGCGTCGACGGCGATCCACGATGATGGTCTGACCGTTCAGCGGAGAATAATCGATCGCGTCTCCTTTTACACCTTCCAACATCGTAAACAGTTGCAATTGCAACGATTTTTTTTATGGATCATTTATCAAATTTTCTATCGGTGCAAGAGAAAAGAGGAGAGCGACATCCCGCGACATTTGTTTCTAGATATATTGCGATCGAACCTTCTCGAAAATGTCATCTGAAAGAAAGCCAAGAAGGTTCGATTACATTTAAATTGCCAACAAAGACGAACGGCGGATTTAATATTTCCTCGATAGGATTGTCGGGTAGAGAATCGTGGCTGCGAGAGACGAGAGGGGAACGTAGCAATTTTTTATGCAAAGCGTCTGCTAACGTCGTTGCGTCCAGAAGTCAGCAGAGATACGGAAATGTCTGGACACGTAACGAAACGATTCATTCTAACGACACCGATTATTACAATTGCAAAATCTCCACGATCGTCTCTACTTCGTTCTTTCGCGTGTTCCTCGATTAACGTGCATATATTTCGTCCTAGCTCTCGAATGCGATCATGTTAATCTTAAAACAACTAGGTTATATAACTTTTCGTGAACTTAAACTATCTTTATTTAAAGCGTTAACGACCAGTATATAGTTTCAAGTTGGCTGTAATGGTATATGAATGGTATATTCATTTGATAACATACACTCGATGTCGAGCGTTCTTTGTCGAACGATCGACAGAATAGGGAAAAGCGTAGTTTGCTGCACAAAATACGAAATCTCCGTTAAGTAGTAGCTCGAGCGAATTGTTTTTGTTCCGATGTTCCCGCCACCGTCGAATCTCGCTAATTCTCAAAGCACATACCTCGCGACGTGTTTAACTTCGAATACCGCGTGCAAATGCAAAACAATCGAGTTCCCTACATCGATAGATGAGGCAAATATGTTTAAAAAAGCATCGTACAAGTTAACCGATGATGCAAAGGTAGACACATCCGTGCCGTCGTTGCAGTCGGTTTCCAGGAAAGCTGGCTACGAATCGATTCCATTCGGTCTAGTAACTTTCCTCTTTGTGAAACTAACGAAACCGTTAACGACGTCATAATTAGTCGTCGATATGGTCACCGTTGAAACGATCGTCGCCGTCGACAAACAATTTCATACCAGGTCGAGAAACAGCGATCATAACAGTGGTCAGGACGGTCTGCACTTTCCCCAGCATTGCGTAATCCGCGTATGTCCCTAACGTAATGAAAGCCTGATTAAATAACAGGAAATTATGCATTTATTTTCTCGAAAATTGCTGCACGTGATTCTACGAATTATCGCCAACTCCGAACACGGTAGGATTGTCTCTCGTTTGGATTTCTATCGCTCTGGTCGTTTCTTGCGCCAAGGTTTGCATAATTGATCGACGTTGTATAATTCCGTGAGCAAAACGTTCAACGATCGATGTTTTCACGGTTCCAAAAATTCATCGATATTCGCTCGCGCGATCGCCTTCTTCCGCTGGTTAAGAAAATTCATGTATCGCGCAACGATGTCGATTTTCGCGCGATCGCCAGCACATGGAAAATAGAACATCTACCGTATCGATGTTGTTTTTACCAAATATTACGTCAATATTATTCAGTTTGTTCCGACGTTCTTTGCTCTCGCGTCTGTTTCGCTGCTTTCGGTCAGTTTTATTTATGGAATTCGTTTTACTCGAGACTCAGTTTCGCGTATTTTTAGACCACCGCGAATCGAGCGAAACGATCGTTGAATATCGTCGCTACTTTTTCGGGTAATCGGGATTCGTGCTAGTTTTGCTACCTCGAAAAAGTGAAAGCGATTCGCCGTTTTTCGATCCTAAGGCCATCAGACGCGACACCGATGCGACGCCGCGAGCACGTTGGTTTCCTCTCGAAATGATTCTATCGAAAGCGTTTGTTCATCGACCAAACAAATACATTACATTATTTTAATACTTATACGTTAAAGTATTAGTTAATAATATCGTAGGTACGCTATAAATTTTGCATATTTATGCTAGCAAAACCCTGTTTATATGTATGTATGTATATTTGTTGCCTTTTCATAGTCCAGTCTTCTGTAGCAGAGTCATCGTTCGACGTCGCGCGCAAACTGGTCGAACGACTTGGCTTGTGGTTCGCTCAGTATGCATGGCCCGTCTAAAGTGGACAAATCTTATTCTTATTGTCAACGGGTTAACCCAAGATGGAGGGGAAGGTCTCTGCAAGGTCCCACGGAGATAGTGTCAGCCACCTTCGTGGACTTGTTCGGGTAAAAGCGAAAGTCTCGTTTGGTGCACGTACACTGGCCGTCTGTCGTCGCTGAGGCCGATTTTCATCGGACGCGTCGCCGCGACCTCTTTCCGATTTCTCGTCGGACGACACCTATTTCGTACGCCATCTTGCCTGTTACGGTAGCGTTCCGCGTAGTATTCGGAAATCGGGACGAATGGATTCGAGTTCGATCCAACTGTCGATCGTGCGAGTAAACGTTTAAAGTAAACGTAAACAGTAGTGAGAACGACGCTAAATTATTCTTTACAATGGTCGGTAGACCGGTTTGCAAATCTTGGGAAACAAAGATATCGAATAGTACACGAAGGAGAAAAGAAACATGGATTCATCGAATTGGCCTTTCATTCGAGACGAGCGATAGAACGTTCAAGACAAAAGTCCGGATCCTGGATATTGGGCAAACGGATCGGTCGATTTAACCCTGAAACGGGGCATCGTAGGTTACAAGGACGGGCAGAAGGTGAGAAATCACCACGGGGAGTATCGAAGCGGGTCGCTAAATGCGGCCGAATAGACGTGAAAGCGGTCAGTCCGGCTGCTGTGTTACGTAAATCCCAGGAAGAGCATTCGAACGTCGCGCGCGTCGCACCGTCTGTTCGTCGATAATCGCATCGGGAACAGAGGGTTTTCCCTTCGCGGGTCTCTTTGATCCGTAGACCTTGTGCTACTTACGAGACGACCATCCGAGCACGTCGATGCGTTGACGCGATCAAACTTTTACGTCCAGTTGATATCGTTGATTGGAAGATTATCGGGAAAATCGCAGCTACCGAATGACTACGAATCCGCGTAAACTACATATACCTGGAAGACTATAAATATTTCCTCGAGAATTAAAATAAACATTCCGTTTTTGTTCTGCTCGTATTATCGATCGTCGACTCACCTAATCACAGATCAATCAATTTGTATGATTTGTTCAACTGAAGAGGATGAAAAAAAAAAACTCGGAAACGTGACTTTCAGAGGTTAAGAATAAAAAAATCTCGAACGAGGTAAATATTTACACAACTTTTTCATTGTATCGACGAGGATGTTTTTTTCGAGTTTCGCGGGTAATCAGGGATATTTTTCTTTTAACAGCGCGAAAATGCTTACTCGCGCAATCCCTGTTACTTCTTAACGATCATAGCCGATGTTCATTGTTATGCTAACCAGAAGCTAATTTCTACGAGTTCGTCGCGTAACTAGAATCCGACGATGTTACTCGAAGCCTTGCGCTACCAATGCTACCATAACCGTACGTATTCGTTTCGGCCGCCAGAATAATAGCAAACGTGGTGCCATCTCTCGGCAAGTCCACGTACTTGGTTTCGTTTCGATTGTTTAGAGACTCGGTATGTCAGGAAACGACGGAAGAATAAGGGAGCCAATTTTCAGAGACGTATGAAATTTACGTGATGTTTAAAGAAAAAAATGCGAAAGCCGAACAAGTAAAATGTAAACATTGGTCACGGTAACGTGAAGGAGCGAGGTTCGAGGATCGTTACTTTACGATCTAGCCTTAAAATCGAAGAACATCCGAGCATCGATTCGAAAGAGGATAGATCAGAGTCGGGTACATCGGACGCGCAACCATTAATCAAGGATGGATCCGTGGCGATCCTTGGCGATCCTTGGCGCGTCGTTCAATTTACGTTTGCCCTTTCACTGTGCAGCGATAAAGCGACCGAGCCACGGACGAATCTACTCGCTGTGTTGCGACGCCGCGCGCCGCACATAGTCGTCAGCCACTTTCACGCGCGATTGCGAATTTCGACGCGAACTCTCGTACCAGCGCCAGCCCGCCCAACAACTCTTGCAAAATTTGTTATGCGCCTTACGTTGACCGACTTTTCCAATTTTCCATGACTTTTTCGCGGTAACTTACTTTACCGCATTCCCAGTTCCCAGCACAGATCGACGATTTCCAGTGGGCAGTCTCTGTTTTCCGTATTCGATTTCCCTCGCAATCTAGTTCTTCGAGGCGG